GAAATAAAATCAATATAAATATTAAAAAAAATATATATTTATTATTCTTATATCTCTCACCCAATAAATTCCTAGAAAAAAACAAAAGACTTAAGACACAAACACCAGGGAATTAAATGTAAATATTTTCCATTTTTTCTCACCCAAAAACTGCCTCTCAAAACGAAAGAATTAAGACACAAACTTGGTGGATATTCCAAGAAAACTCTCTCCCTCTCTGTTTTACTCACTTAAAAATATTTTCACATGAAATAAATTTTCAAATTTCTCTCACCCAAAAAATGCCTCTCAAAACGAAAGACTTAAGACACAAACCTTGTGGCCATTTAAAGTAACTTAATTTCTTCGCCGTTTTAGTAACCAATTAAACACACGAAAAATAAATTAAATGAAAAATAAAATATTACAAAGCATTTAACCTTTTCTCTTTTTGCAAAACATAAAATGCCAAATAAAATAATTTATTAACAAACATTAACTTTTTTTACATTTTCAGCCACTTTCAAATCGTGCAAATGTAATAATTGTTGGCACAACACATGCGGCTGAAACTCATCGTCGTCGTCGTCATCATCATTATCATCATTGCCATCATCCAATGAGCTTTAAGCCGGTTCGCCAACCACTTAGAGTGCCATAATTCATGATGCGTTGGCGTTGTCAATTAATTTGCTGGGAAAACGAGAAAAAATCGCTTAAGACGGGACCGCCGCATTAAATATTTTTGGTCATTCATTACACGTTTATAGGTTGCTATTATTTTATTTATTTTTTTTTTCTTTCTTGTCTCTTGTTTGCGTGCCATGATTTGTTACGGTAAGTATTTTTATTGCCTGAAATTTTGATTTAGTTTTCCCCCACCCCAGTTTTTAGGTGGTCATCATCGACAAAACCTTATGTGAATACATGATTAAACAACATTATGCGTAAGTCCCCCCTCCCCTCCCCAGATGACAGCAAATGAATTTTGGTCAATGATATTACGCTGCTCAAATATTAATTACAAACAATTAACACCGTTTCTTTCATAAAAACGGAGAAAAAATTTTAAATTTATTGCCTTCTTTTACGCGAACGTGCCTTGTGATTTTTAAGTGGCCATCAAGTGTTAATCCAATTACAAAAATTTAAAGTGTTATTGCCAAAACTGTACCAAACAAAAAAAAAAACGAGAAACCAAAACTATTATCGCCATTTATGCGCTTCGCTTCGAAACCTCGCAAAAACAAGAGGTGTTATGTTCTCTTTGGTTATCTAGCTGTATGAGTTCTATATGACGTCATAAAGCTAGCTTACCGAAGTTAATGCTAACACTCGATCAACTAATAAAGTGTCCGTGTGTGTGTCTGTGCAGATTTGTGAAAGTAGTGCAAATTAAAGTGCAGAATTTGAAAAAAAGTGATAATTAATATTCATTAGGAGTTCGGTGAGACAGTTTTATTTGTATGTGAAGTGTGCAGAGGCGGGCCTGGGAAGCTTTCGTAGAAGAGCATTAGAATGTGCTCTACAAAATTTCTTCAAAATTAAGTTTTTAAATGCAAAAGCAGAAAGTGTTCCATAAAATAGCAGAAGGTCTGCTATAGAATAGCAGACGGTCAGCTATAGAATAGCAGCAGAACGGTCTGCTATAGAATAGCAGCAGAACGGTCTGCTATAGAATAGCAGCAGAACGGTCTGCTATAGAGAATAGCAGCAGAACGGTCTGCTATAGAGAATAGCAGCAGAACGGTCTGCTATAGAGAATAGCAGCAGAACGGTCTGCTATAGAGAATAGCAGCAGAACGGTCTGCTATAGAGAATAGCAGCAGAACGGTCTGCTATAGGATAGCAGAACAGTCTGCTATAGGATAGCAGAACGGTCTGCTATAGAAAATAGCAGAACGTCAGCTATAGAATAGCATAACGGTCTGCTATAGGATAGCAGAACGGTCTGCTATAGAAAATAGCAGAACGGTCTGCTATAGAAAATAGCAGAACGGTCTGCTATAGAAAATAGCAGAACGTCAGCTATAGAATAGCAGACGGGTCTGCTATAGAATAGCAGTACGGTCTAGCTGCTATAGAATAGCAGCAGAACGGTCTGCTATAGAATAGCAGCAGAACGGTCTGCTATAGAATAGCAGCAGAACGGTCTGCTATAGAATAGCAGCAGAACGGTCTGCTATAGAATAGCAGCAGAACGGTCTGCTATAGAATAGCAGCAGAACGGTCTGCTATAGAATAGCAGCAGAACGGTCTGCTATAGAATAGCAGCAGAACGGTCTGCTATAGAATAGCAGCAGAACGGTCTGCTATAGAATAGCAGCAGAACGGTCTGCTATAGAATAGCAGCAGAACGGTCTGCTATAGAATAGCAGCAGAACGGTCTGCTATAGAATAGCAGCAGAACGGTCTGCTATAGAATAGCAGCAGAACGGTCTGCTATAGAATAGCAGCAGAACGGTCTGCTATAGAATAGCAGCAGAACGGTCTGCTATAGAATAGCAGCAGAACGGTCTGCTATAGAATAGCAGCAGAACGGTCTGCTATAGAATAGCAGCAGAACGGTCTGCTATAGAATAGCAGCAGAACGGTCTGCTATAGAATAGCAGCAGAACGGTCTGCTATAGAATAGCAGCAGAACGGTCTGCTATAGAATAGCAGCAGAACGGTCTGCTATAGAATAGCAGCAGAACGGTCTGCTATAGAATAGTAGCAGAACGGTCTGCTATAGAATAGTAGCAGAACGGTCTGCTATAGAATAGTAGCAGAACGGTCTGCTATAGAATAGTAGCAGAACGGTCTGCTATAGAATAGTAGCAGAACGGTCTGCTATAGAATAGTAGCAGAACGGTCTGCTATAGAATAGTAGCAGAACGGTCTGCTATAGAATAGTAGCAGAACGGTCTGCTATAGAATAGTAGCAGAACGGTCTGCTATAGAATAGTAGCAGAACGGTCTGCTATCGAAAATAGCAGAACGGTCTGCTATAGAAAAATAGCAAAAGGTCTGCTATAGAAAATAGCAGAACGGTCTGCTAAAGAAAAATAGCAAAAGGTCTGCTAAAGAAAAATAGCAAAAGGTCTGCTATAGAAAATAGCAGAACGGTCTGCTTTAGAATAGTAGAAGGTCTGCCATAAAAAAGCAGAAGGTCTGCCATAAGAAATAGCAGAACTGTCTGCTATAGGAAATAGTAGAACGCTCTGCTATGGAATAGGAGATGCTCTGCTATAGAATAGCATAACGGTCTGCTATCGAAAATAGCAGAACGGTCTGCTATAGAAAATAGCAGAAAGGTCTGCTATAGAAAATAGTAGAACTGTCTGCTATAGAAAATAGCAGAACGGTCTGCTATAGAATAGCCGCATAGGATTTCAGTGAGATACTCGGGGTAATCACTTGTTTAAACTTTATCATTCATATTCCCCCAAGACCCTATACTTTGGATGACTTAGCGTTTCGGATGACATTCGCAACAACACCTATCGCAAACTGTGTGTGGTACCTCAACGTAGGAAAGAGAACTTATGTGACGTAGTACTATTCGCTTCTTCCTATCACTCTTGGCGTGCTCGATAAATTGGCTCGACAAGTGACTTCGGTCCCATTATCCTTTTTCCCAGGATTCGAAATATTAAGTTAATCTTTACCCACAGTTTACCCATATCGGTTCGAATGTTATGGCCCTTCAGATGGTCTAGATGGAGATTTTTTAACCTTCACTATCAATTTGAAGTTCATTCGCTAATCTCGCCGCATTTGCTAGTAAATTTGATCGTATTTCGGTTATTCGGCCAGCCAGTATATAGCCAGCGGCTTTAGCTTTTTTGCTACACGAACATCAGAAGGATTGGGCAGTTCTCTGAAGCAAGTGAAGTGAGCTTTCTCATGGTTAAGGGAAGCCCGTCGTTCAGAGGTGATGAAATCGGGGTTTCTATGGAGACGACTGAGAAGGTGGTCTGGCTCAAAACAAATGTCGGGTTGCCAAGTCACGTCATTTATCAGACCGGGTGTCAGTATGGTAGTCTCCTCTGGGGGCATCCTCGTTTACCATGCGAACTGTGTAGCAGTTAATCTGCTCTGCCTGCCCTCTGGTCATTACCTAGGACAGAATGACACAACACATAGTAGGCAGTAAAATCCTCTAGTACAAGGCGGTTATTAGAGAATTTAAAAGCATTGGATTCTCACATTAAGCACCTCACATTCTCACCTGGCGTAAGATGCTGTTCAAGAGACTATACTCCGAAGACGACTCGGATGTCGATTATCATAAATTCCACTATCTCATCAATCATACCTCGGAATATCAGGCAAGTGAATTGCAAAAACGATACACCATCCGAAGTTGGAATAACAACAAGTGATGCTGTGCGTAGAAGTTACTATTCAAGATACTGTGGTAGGATTCTATGCTCCGAAGACTACTCTGACGTTGATGACCAAGACGCGAGCTCTCTGGGTACTACATTGTTGCGATAAAACGTTCGCTGTAGTCTCGCAACCAGGTTTGTACAGAACAATTGTTAAAATGCACCCATCCTTGGCATCCATCGCACCGAGACAGGTATGTGGTGGATGATATTTTGATAAGCCTAGGTTTTCTTCTACGTACGAAAAGAATCTAAAATAGACACACCAGGATATGCTGCTTCCAAAGCAAAAAAATAAACACGAATACACATTCACTGAGGTGGCAGCCGCTGTTGTTACAGGTCAATCCGGTGTCGTAGAACTCGCCGCCGTATGATTGAAACCCTCCTTTTGGATCCCCAAAATATACACACCAGGATATGATGCTCCCAAAGCAAAAAAAAAATAAACACATACAGACGTTCACTGAGGTGGCAGCCGATGTTGTTGCATATCAATCCGGCATCGTAGAACTTACCGCCGTATGATTGAAAGCCTCCTGTTGGATCCACTGAGCTGTCCAAGGCGTTTTATTTAATTCACAGCTACCTAATATGTATTTTGCGCTCTCCACTATCCGCAATCGGTGGTTGCTTTTGCGATCTGACTTTCGTTCTCATTCTAAGCACACGTTTTCGACATTTATTTGTATAACTTTTTTTTTCGAAACAAAGATAACAGCGCATTTGTATTATATACAATGAGAGTGAGTATCTAAATATAAAAAATATACTTTCAACTTCTAGTTCTGGTAGGCACCTCCTTTATTCCTTTGCTTCTTTGCCAGCATACTTCTCATTATACTGCTTGTGCCAGTCGAGATTTTGTTTGGTAACCGATTCACCACGCTTGGCGGCCTCCTTGCCACTGTAGACCATAATGCCGCAGCCGATAACGGTCAGGGCCATCATAATGTTGGCCAAACGAATACGGATTGTGTTGCGGCAACGTTCCATGACATCGCGACTGGAAGAAGGAAGAAAATAAAGGTATTAATATGAGTCAAAAATCTGAGGTTATTTTTCGAGAAGCAGAGACTATTGAAGTTTGAGAAATGGAAAACCACAAACCATATCCATGAAGCTAATACCAAATTTTCGGAAATAAAGGAGAAAATTAAAGAAGTATTCTTCCCATAGACTTATCATGATCATGAGCTCCCTCTAGGCAGGTTGCGATGAATCTTTTTTCAATTTCCTAGCCACGATATAATCTTTATGATCAATAGTTCTTTTTCTCTTTCGAAATATGTTACTGCGCCTGGCCTATAATTACAGGGTGAGATAGAAAAACTGCAACCAACTTCAGACTCCTGTTATTTCTAAGCCAATCGTCCGACAGCTGTAAAAGTTATTCCAGTGACAGCTCATTACAAAAGCATTTTGCTGAGAATTTTCCAGAAAAAAGTTATTCGTGATGGAATTCAAGTGTGATAGTTTGATTTCTTGATATTTGGCTGGAAAACCACAAGTGGTTATCCGTTAGAGCACTCCAGCATTTAAATGTGAGTAAATCTTTTGGGTCTCGTACCATCGCTCGTTAACGTGATACTGGTAGCGTAGCCCGACGTCAAGGAAGTGGACCGAAGAAGAAAACAGCAACATCAGCAGAAATGGTTCGAAGAGCAAAGAAGCGACTTGATCGAAACCCGCGTCGCAGTGGCCGAAAAATGGCTCGTGAGCTGTACATATCGCAATATTCCATTTGGCAACTATTGAAAAATGAGCTCGGGGTAAGCCAAAAAGTGCAAGAACTTACACCGCAACAGAAAAAATATAGACTCAAAAGAGCTAAAGAGTTGCTTCGTTTGCTCGAAAATGGTGGACTGCCAAATTTGGTTTTCTCCGATGATAAACAAACAAAATGATAGTGTTTACTTGCCAAAGAGTTCAGCAGAAAATGTGCACCTTCGGTTAGCCACCAGAACTCAAGCACCGGCCATGGTGATGGTGTGGGCCGCCATAACAGCCGATGGTCGCTCTGCGCTCGTGTTAATCGACCGTGGCATCAGAATAAATGCCAAATATTATAGCGAAAATATTCTGAAGGGTGTATTAAAGCCATGGGCACGCAAATGGTTACAAAATGAGGTTCCTCGCTTCATTCCCAGCGCACAATACCAATCCGTTGGACTATTGTCTCTGGAGTGTTTTGGAAAGCAAGGTTGGCACTAAAAAATACTTAAGTGTCGATCACCTCAAGCAAGGATCACCTTCGCCGGGAATGGGCCAAAATAACGCAGAGCAACATTTGAGCAGCGTTTGACCTTTTGAAGGCCATAATTCGTGCCAAAAGGTGACCAATTCGAACAAATCTAAACTTATTCTAAAATTTGATGCAATTCCCAACATTTTTTTGCTTTCATTCAATGAAATTTAAAAAAAAAAATGTAAAAATTATGGCATTTGACTTTGTTGCAGTTTTTTTATCTCACCCTGAAAATGTATCTAATTTCCGTAGGACCTCTTCCATTCGACTTGCTTTAAAGTGGGCTTAGCTGGAAACCCCAACAAGAGTGTTGTGGGTACATGCCAACTTTGTGAGATTAAGTTTTTCCGAATCAGACTTCTTTTGACCTCCTGTATGAAGATATTGGACTTATTATTATCAAAGTCTTCTCTGTGAAGACTGTTGACCAACTACACGATTTTTTACTCTATCTCAAAGTTCACCCGGGGAATATATTCTCCTTGTTTGATTGTTTGATTTTACTACCCTGGTATTAGAACTACTTTTCGTGCTAAAAATTGTGTCTGACCTAGGCTTTCCAACAATCTTGCTCTGGAAGTCTGATTATATCGAGTTCGAGTAAGGAATAGCAGCGAGGAGGCTGAATTCTTGCTCTACGAAAATATGACATGAAAATACTCCATAAATCTTTTGAAAGTTCATCTTAGGATGATATTTTTTGTCTCTTCTTGTGATCGATAGGGTTTCCCGACAGCTATGACTCTTTTAGAAACTTTAGGGAACCCAAAACCCTAATCTTGAAGCGACTTTTGGTGCTAGAAATGGTGTCCGACACAAGATTTGAAATGATATTTCTCTGGAAGTCTGATTATATCGAGTTTGAGTAAGGAATAGCAACGACGAGGCTAGATTCCTGTTCTACGAAAATATGAAATGAAAAAACTCCATAAAGTTCACCTGAGGAAGATAGTCGTTTTACCTCTTTGTGATCGATACGGTTTCCCGACCGAAAGGCTGTTATAGAAACTTATGATTTTTGCATTCCATGGAATTGAAAATATATTGAATAGGCTTACCAACGATCTTGCCCTGGATGTCTGATTACATCGAGTTTGAGCAAGGAATGACAGCGAGTAGGCTGGATTCTATTCTGAAATCTTTTCTATTCAAATTAATGATCTTGATATTCGTTTCCTTTTTTCCATAGCCGATTCTCCAGTCAAGAGTTGCAAAACGAACCAAATTCTTGCTAGGTCTAGAACAGAGCTATTGTAATGTAATAACTTGTAAAGAGTATCAAATGTGTCGTTTTTGTAGCATAGTTTTAGGCATGAGAAAAAAACAACTTCATAACGAAAAGCCATAGAACATATCCAACAGATATGCTTAGGGAGTCGATCGTGCTGCTTAAATAACAGACGATTTTAATGCATTTTTGGGGCTCTTCCAAAAAAAGTAAATAATATCAAGATGTATTAGTTCATATCAATTTTGAAAAAAAATGCGTTGAATTCTGTTGGCGCAATTTCATAGTAACGCTGTAAGCCGAACACTATCAAACCATCCTCGTGAATGTGAAACAACAAGTTTTGGCTACACTTTTTTATTTTTTTGTCGATTTTAGTTTTTGTCTCACTTTGTGAATTAGATTGCAGCTTTGCAGCATTGTGACCTAGGATATTCAAAGCAATTATTCTATAAAGCTCCATTGGCTGGAATTGATTAAATGATCTAATACACATTGCCAAAAACAAGTATGTTGCCTTAATTGATACACGCGTCGACGTGATTCATGGATCTATCTTTCCCAACGCACGCAAGCACATATTAATCAAAATATAAGCCAACCAAAATGAAATGGAATATTCCATTGAAACAGCATACATATATATACATAACAACTATGTTTATATACAATATGCAACATGTACATATGTATGCACGTAATTTGCACCTGTATCATGAAATTCTCAAATCAAAATGGAACCTGTTTAAATAATAGCTATTATCGAATAACTGCGATTTTTTAGCTTTTCTTGCAAATGTAAAACCTACCTTACAAAATTGGGAACCTCATCGACACTCTTGAATTTGCCAGTCCATACCAAAAAACGTTTTTCCAGACCATTGGGTTCGTGGTTATTGATACCCTGCTTAAGTTGTGGCGATGTGTTGAAACCACGGCCGCGTACCAAAGTTCGGGATGCATTCAAGGCTTGACGCAACATCTAGGGAAGACAACAAAAAACATCATTATATGATGAAATATGAAAAGATTACTTCATAGAGATATACTTTTGGAAATTCTTTACTCCTCCTGTGCCACTGACTACTGAAATTATACAACAAATAACAACAAAGTTTCGCTAACTCTCTCCCCACAGCTTAGCTGTCAAAACAAAAAACAGTTGATTATGGCGCGGCAAATAGTAATGGCACACAATACGCCAGACGCTGGCGTTAGGTGTTGAAATTCACTTTAGAATAAGGAATAAGGACTTCAATAAAACATTTGTTGAAATAAAAAAATATAAAAAAAAATTTCTTTAGAAAAAAATAACAATATTATATAAAACTCTTTAATTTATGAGAGAATAAAGAAAATAACTTAAGTTATACGCTTTGCGCTTCCCTTCAAATCCTTGTTGACATCTACTCTCTTTGGCATATGACAAAAGCAAAAACAGGTGATTATGGCGGTAATATGTAATACCACACAATAAAAAGCGCCAGCGTTTGACGCCAAAATAAACGACAGATAGGATTTATGTTTCGCGGTAAATACAAATACCGTTAATGAAATCAGAAAAAAGAGGGAGTAAAACAAATTAAATGCATATTTATTTATTTATATAAAACCCTTAAATCTAAGAACGTTATTAAAAAGAATAGCCCTCGTCAAACGCTTTACGCTTTCATTGAATCTCAACTAATATCGCCCTGTCAAATGTCACATAACTCATTTCTAGGTTAGGTTAGGATTGTTGCAATCTATTGTTTATTTTTCATTTAAAGAATTATCAATTAAAATGTTAGCAAATCTTTTAAAATCTTTGACTAGTAAACCACAAACCCGTTATACTTACGAACTTTGCAGACAATTATGCTCCCCGAGCAATAAAGAGCAGCAGTATGCCGATAAAAGTAAACGGGAAGAGGATGATGCGTTAAAGATTGAAGCCAATCTATTTGAACAGGCTTCCATCCGATATGAACCGGTAACGGCGGAAGAAGTTTTACGTAAAAACGTAAAACAAAAACTACTGAAAACCCACCAGGAGCAACATCCAAGTCCTAAATTTGTACAGAAAGCCCATAAGCAATTTGTGAAAAAATCACGTCAGGAACGTGAATCGAAATCCCGATTAATAGATGACAAAGAATTGGGTTTGGAGTATTTAAAATTAGATCTCAATGATCCAAGGCTGGGTACATTGATGATATCGGCGCGATCGAAGAAGCGCCGTGACAAGGATGGACAAATTGTCATAGAAGGCAGACGTTTGATCTTGGAAGCTTTGGAATGTGAGCTAAAGTTGAATGCAATAATTTTCAGTCAAAAAGAAGAATTGGCCGACATAAAGGAGCCACTGCAAAAAGCCTTGCAGAGCAATCCACAATGTAAAATATACAAAGTACCACATCATGATTTAAAAACATGGTCCACCTTAACGACCCCACCTGGAGTTATGACCCTATTCCAAAGACCTTCACTGGAGTATATCGTAAGGAAATCTTCGGATAATTCGGATCCCCTGCCCTTGACGGTGGTTTGTGATAATATTCGTGAACCAAATAACTTGGGCAGCATTATTCGTACCTGTGCCGCGTTGCCATGCTTTCAGATTGTCGTGACAAAGGGCTGTTGTGATCCATGGGAATCGAAAGCTTTACGCGGTGGTTGTGGTGGCCATTTTCGTGTACCCATACGTGATGATGTTAGCTGGGAAAATGTACCGCTAATGATACCACCCGAAATGGCGGAAAACTCCTGTGTATTTATAGCCGAAAACAATAAAGCCAAGTTAAGGGATAACAATGTGGATGCTATTGACTATTCACAGGTTGAGAAAACCGGAGCACATAATGTTGTGGTAATTGGCGGTGAAAGTCATGGTGTGAGCAGTGAAGCATACAGGTATTTTGGATAATATTTTTGTACCAAGATTTATAGATTTTTGTGGATAGTGTAAGAGATTTTCTTTGATCAAGTACTCCCTGATGTGTATTCTATGCATTGCGAAGTATTCTGTACAAAGAAGACTCCCAGGGAAGTACAGGATGAGATAAAAAAAACTGTAACAAAGTCAAATGCCATAATTTTTAATTATTTTTTGGTAAGTTTTATTGAATGAAAGCAAAAAATGTCGGAGGAAATGGTATCAAATTTTAGAATAAGTTTAGATTTGTTGGAATTCGTCATCTTTGCCACGAATTATGGCCTTCAAACGGCCAATGAAACCGTCACACGCTGCCCGAATGTTGCTCTGCGGTATTTTGGCCTATTTCCGGCAAAGCGCTTGCTTGAGGTGATCGACACTTTGGTATTTTTTGCCTTCCAAAATACTCCAGACACAATAGTCCAACGGATTGGTATCCGGAGTATATTTTGGTGGCCATTGTGAGCTGGAAATGAAGCAGAAACCCCATTTCGTAACCATTATTGCTGAGTCCTGTCCACGATCATTTTGTTTGTTTACAAACTGCTGGATAACGAATGTTTTCTCATCGGAGAAAACCAAATTCGGCAGTTCACCACTTTCGGCCAAACATACCAACTCTTTAGCTCTTTTGAGTCTATTTTCTATCAGTTGCGGTGTAAGTTCTGCACTTTTTTGAATTGCAATGGCTTTACCCCGAGCTCATTTTTCAATATTTGCCAAATGGAATATTGCGATATGTTCAGCTCACGAGTCATTTTTCGGCCAATACGACGCAAGTTTCGATCAAGTCGCTTCTTTACTTTTCGTACCATTTCTACTGATGTTGTTGTTTTCTTCTTCGGTCCACTTCCTTGCTGTCGGGCTATGCTACCAGTTTCACACGGTAACGAGCGATGGTACGAGACACAAAAGATTTATTCACATTTTAATGCTGGAGTGCTCTAACGGATAGCCACGTGTGGTTTTCCAGCCAAATATAAAAAAAATTCCATCACGAATAACTTTTTTTTCTGGAAAATTCTTACCAAACAATATAATAAGCTGTCACTGGAATAATTTTAGCAGCTGTCAAACGATTGGCTTAGAAATGACAGCAATCTGAAATTGGTTGCAGTTTTTCATCTAACTCTGTACTATGTCAAGGCGTTTTTCACAAATAGATACAATAAGGAGGTAGAACAGCTTCGTAAAACTACAGAAATACAGCCCTGAGGCTGTGCCCGCTTCCTGTCCGATTCATTCAAAATTTTATACAACAAATTGTTTCCATTTTTTTAAATTTTTCCTCATTTTTAAATTGAATAAAAAAACTCGAAAAATGTATGAAATGCCTGGATTTTATCTCAAAAATATGATCCAAACTCTCCAATATTTCAATTTCATGGCTAAACTGTTTAATAGCCTTAATGCCCTACCCGCAATGTGCGTGTTTTCCAGTCATTGATTTTGAAAATATTCTGTTAATTTTTATTTTGTTTAGAAAATACCTTATCTCTTTATTGTACCATGGATACAAGTATTCTGTGGCGAATGTAGGTTCTCGATGTAAGAGTGCCTGTCACAGATATCACAAGGGGGCCCTTATTTCTAAGCTTCTTCAGCATCTCACCTGCTATCCTGCCGCTTAAAATCTCAGTCTGTACTCATTGTTGGTTTAATATGACGTTAGGTTTTACATAGTCCTCTCATATTGTGTGCAGTAGTCCACAAAATTGCCTTCTCATTTTGGAAAAGGGAATTCTATTTTTTTTTTCATCTCAGGATTTTAAGACGTTTTTCACAAATAGATACTACCCCTGTGAGCTTTTCTATCAACAAAGATAGAGATGAGAAGTCATAGACACCCTTATAAAGTTGGGTCTACATAAGGAATAACCCCTGGAATTTTTCTCTTCTTTCTCTTTCAGATTTATGTCCACGGTTGGTGATCGAGGAAAATGCCTTAACATACCCTTGGCCGAGGGTTTTGATAGTCTGAATGTTGCATCGGCTCTTACTCTAATTTTATATGAGTTACGTAAAAACATACTTCAACAAGACCAACCCATCTCCTCGTCTACGCCAGCTCAGGCTTAAAGTTTTAATGTACTAACACTCCATTTTGGATTTTTTGAGACTTGTAATTCTTTATTATGAATTTGTTGTTAATGAGTTTCGATTTTTCGAAATGCTTTAAAAATGAAAAAAAAAGCAAAAAAACAAAAAAAAAAGAAAGACAAGCAAATAAATGAAAGCAAAGCAAAGAAAACAAAAGGAAGAAAATAAAGAAATAAGATTAAACAAAAAATTAAAAAATAACACAGTTTTTTCTTTTTTTTCAATGTAAACTAAAAATTATTATAAACATGTTTTTGTTTTTCTTTTGTTAAACATTTGTTTTGTGTTAAATAATATCATTATTATAATAATAAAAAAATATATATGTACATATTACATAGGAGAGATGCTTTTTTTTGGATATTCAAAATGAAAACAAATCTCTTATTACTCGAGGGATAGAGGGAAGGAAAGAAAAATGATAATGAAAAATAAAAAATAAATGAATAAATGTAATAAGATAAAAATCTGCAGTATAGTGTTGTGTTGGTAGCAAAAGTATAACAAAAGCATGAAAGAAGTACTTTTAAAGTAAAAAAAGAAACGCAAGTTTGGGGGAGGATATTAGACATGCAAATAGTAGTAACTTTCAGAATGTTTTTCTAATTTTAAGTTGTTAGGAAGTTGTTTTTTTATTCCTCTATGTTTGCCTCTAATGTACGTTTTTGTTTCGTGGGGGCGGGGCGGGGTCTGATCAGAAAGATAATTTTATACTACCTCATACTGACGTTCCACATGCAAGACAAATCAAGAAGTCATTACGAACGACACTTGGAGCTATTTTGTATAACGTTCAAATAAATACAAAACCATGGAGCAAGGATTTCAATAATTGATTTTATGGGGACCCTTGATCCCCCCATCCAATCCTTTTCCATGCCTGCCACTTCTATTTAATTGAGAAATTAGTTTAATAAATTTGTTTGTTAAATGGAATAGGAAAATAAATATTGCCGCCTCATTTTAAATGGGTCTTCTTCATGCAATATTTGAAAGTGTCAAGGATGCTATTTCTTTATCATCATCATCATCATCTTTGTTTTGAATCCCTTATTAGTAAGCTACACTCTAACTAAACTTAAATTAGGGCTTTTGTTGTTGTTGCTGTTATGCTTTTCGTTTTCATCATCACCATCTTCATCATCATCATCGTTTTCATCATTACGATCATTAACATTGTCATCACCATAGTATCCAGTTTGAGTTTATGAGGTTGTTGCTGTTGTTCTCGTGTCTCTAAACAAGGCTAAAAATTGAAACCTCCCTGTGGTGCACCCAGATCCGTATTAAACGCATACTGATTGCCATCGGCGGATGGCGCCACTCGTTCCACCTCTTCGTCATTGGAGAAATATTGTTCAATGATATTGAAACATTTATGATAGATATCGCGATTTTCGTGCGACTGCAAATATTCTATTCTGTCCAAACCTAGAAGTCAAAAGAAACGATGTGAAAATTTCAAAAAAAAAACGCAAATTGGATCGCCCATGCTCACCTCCATATTCCTCAATGATCATGGCATAGGGATTTGGTCTTTCAGGGAATTTCTCACCAGCTTTAAGTATATTTTCCAGGGCATTTAAAGCTACTTGCACCATGTCCGAATCGAGCAAAGTCAGACAAGAGACCATGGGTTCAAGACAGCCAATGTGGACCTGAAAAAAAGATAAAGAAGAAGATTAATTTTTTTCTAAAGGAGAATTTTAACTCTTAGTAAACAATTTTTATACCCTCCACCATAGTATGGAGGGTATATTAAGTTTGTCACTCCGGGGTCACAAAATATACATTTTCGACCCCACAAAGTATACAGGGTAAGATGAAAAAACTGCAACCAACTTCAGACTGCTGTCATTTCTAAGACACTCGTCCGACAGCTGTCAAAATTACTCCAGTGACAGCTCATTTTATTGTTTACAAGCGTCCAAAAGCATTTTGGTGAGAATTTTCCAGAAAAAAAGTTATTCGTGGTTCATTCATTAAAGCGTGATAGTGTGATTTCTTTATATTTGGCTGGAAACCACAAGTAGCTATCGTTAGAGCACTCCAGCATTTAAATGTGAATAAATCTTTTGTGTCTCGTACCATCGCTCGTTACCGTGATACTGGTAGCGTAGCCCGGCGTCAAGGAAATGGACCGAAGAAGAAAACAGCAGCATCAGCAGAAATGGTATGAAAAGTAAAGAAGCGACTTGATCGAAACCCGCGTCGCAGTGGCAGAAAAATGGCTCGTGAGCTGAACATATCGCAATATTCCATTCGGCAAATATTGAAAAATGAGCTCGGGGTAAAGCCATTGAAATTCCAAAAAGTGCAAGAACTTACACCGCAACAGGAAAAAAATTGACTCAAAAGAGCTAAGAGTTGCTTCGCTTGGCCGAAAGTAGTGAACTGCCGAATTTGGTTTGGGGTCTCCGATGAGAACACATTACTTGTCCAGCAGTTTGTAAACAAACAAAATGATCGTGTTTACTTGCCAAAGAGGTCAGCTGAAAATCTGCACCTTCGGTTGGCCACCAGAACTCAAGCGCCGGCCATGGTGATGGTGTGGGCCATCATAACAGCTAATGGTCGCTCTCCGCTCGTATTAATCGACCGTGGCATCAGAGTAAATACCGAATATTATCACGAAAATATTCTGGAGGGTGTATTAAAGCCATTCCAACAGAACTCAGCACGCGCCACCCAAGAATGGTTACAAAATGAGGTTCCTCGCTTCATTTCCAGCGCACAATGGCCATCAAAATCTCCGGATACCAATCCGTTGGACTATTTTGTCTGGAGTATTTTGGAAAGCAATGTTGGAACTAAAAAATACCAAAGTGTCGATCACCTCAAGCAAGCGCTTCGCCGGGAATGGACCAAAATACCGCAGAGCAATATTCGGGGAGCGTGTGATGGTTTCATTGGCCGTTTGAAGTTCATAATTCGTGCCAAAGGTGACCAATTTTAGCGCCGTCCGTCCGTCAGTCCTTCTGTGAAAATCACTCTAGCTTCCGAACGAAATGAAGTAGGTTGATAAAATTTTACTCAAATGTATATTATGTCTGCAGAACTTTTGGTATTGAAAATGGGCCATGTATGCCCACGTTTTGGTATAGCCCTCATATAATTGTACCTCCCTATTTTCGGTATTTTGAGGTTTTTAGCGACATTATTCACCGGAAGTGTTTCAAATTTAGTATTTGAAGTTCGCAATGGATACTACAGCCTATGAATGAAAATTGTCTGTGCAGGTCCACGTCTTCGTGGAGCCAACATATAACGATACCTCCCGATATTCGGTATTTCGATGATTTTAGCGACATTATTCACCGGAATTGTTTCAAATTTGGTATTTGAAATTCGCAATGGATACTAAATAATAAGACAGAAAATTGTCTTTGCAGGTACTCGCCTTCGTATAGCCCCTATATAACGGTACCTCCCAATATTCGGTATTTTGATGATTTTAGTGACATTATTCACCGGAACTGTTTCAAATTTGGCATTTGAAGTTCGCAATGGATACTAAATAATAAGACAGAAAATTGTCTTTACAGGTCTACGTCTTCGTATAGCCCCCATATAATGATACCTCCCTATATTCGGTATTTTAATGATTTTGGCGACATTATTTACCGAAATTGTTTCAAATTTGCTATTTGAAGTTCGTAATGGATACTACAGCCTATGATAGAAAATAGTCTGTGATTGTCCACGTCTTCGTATAGCCCCCATATAAATGCTCCTCCCGATACTCGGTATTTTGATGATTTTAGCAACATTATTCACCGAAATTATTTAAATTTGGTATTTGATGTTCGTAACGGATACTTAAGAAAAAGACAGAAAATAGTCTTTGCAGGTCCACGTCTTCATATAACCCCCATATAGCGGGAACTCCCGATTTTCGGTATTTTTATGATTTTGTCGACATTATTTACCGAAATTGTTTCAAATTTAGTATTTGAAGTTCGTAATGGATACTTCGGCCTATGACAGAAAATTGTCTGTGCAGGTCCACGTCTTCGTATAGCCCCCATAAAACGATACTTCCCTATATTCGGTATTTCAAGTTTCGCATTTGAATATTGTAAGTGCAAAAGAAAACTCACCAAATATCTTATTTGTTCTGCCGTACCACTGCTGGTGGCATTTGTCAAAGCCCATGCTGCCTCTTTTCGTGTCTTATAGTCGTGCGGTTTTATCATAACATCCACCAACATTGGGAAAATATTTGCATCAATTAATGCCTGGATTTGTTGGCGATTGCCGGCGGCAATATTTGAGATCGTCCAGCAAGCTTCTTTTTTAATCGTATCCAGGGGTGAGTTCAACAAATGACTAATACAGGGCAATGCATTGCAATTTAAAATGACTTGAGTTTGAACATCGTCGCCGGTCACAATATTGCCCACAGCCCTAAGGGCGGCGGTGACAACATTATTTTGGGGATGCCTAAGAGGAAATCAAGAAAAAAAGCAGTGAATAAATATTCCGAAATCATATACAACTATCAACTTACATTAATAGCTCCACCAAACGCCGACAAACACCAGCATCGATGACAGCTTGTATCTTATCATTTGGACCATCGGACAAATAGCTAATGGCCCAGCAAGTATCACTTAAAACATCTGTATCGGTATGATTGAGCAATCTAGCCAATATGGGTAGGCCGTGGACAACTTTGGAAAAGTCAGCTGGAGGATTTTTGCCGCGACACAAGTTCGATAGAGTCCATACCGCGTTACGTATCATGGTTAAACGTTCGGTGGTGCTTAAAACGCTATTGTGAGAAAGTGAGAAAAAATAGAGAGAGAGAGAGAGAGAGAGAGAGGATTATAGGTTTGCCAATTTATTGTTTCCGAGGGGAGCTGGAGGTGAAACTTACTGCAACAGTGGCTGCATAATACCAGAATTCAATAAATGATCTCGACATGCCGGAGAATCACCCGCAATATTACCCAAAGCCCATACGGCCTGTTCTTGGACATCATCATGGGGACTGGAGAGCAATTCTATAAATATTGGTACACCACCTGCCTCTATGACAATTTTGGTTTGTTGTGAGGTGCCGGAAGCTATGTTAGTTAATGTCCAAGCTGCTTCAAACTAAAAACAAAACAAAAAAGTATGGAATTAGAAATTATTTGCAAATTTGAAGAGACACTTGATTTTTAAGATGAGAATCACTTTATGTATTTTTTTACAAAAAAGAAATCAGTAAAGATAGTCCTAAAGTGGGTGGGGTGACTTTATGATATGATATAACAAATAAAAGTTTCTATGGGGAATTTGTGAGAACCAAAATCCTACCAACTATGATTTAAAGTCCAAACGAACTTATATATGAGAGGAACACCCTTCTCTGAATCGACTACTAAATTTGCCGAGGCATTTGCGCCTTTTCAATTCGTTCTTATATTACCCATTTAGTGCACATTTAACTTGAAATCGGATCAAGATATATATGAGAGCTATATCGAAATCTGAACCGATCTTGATAAAATTTGGCAAAGATATTTCTGAGCTGTATTTTATATATTTTTTTCTGAATTTCGTAGTTATGGTGTACATATTATGACTGTGGAGAACAAAAATGATTAATTGGATGAAAAATGTATATGGGAGCTATAGGTACATATATCTGAACCGATTTCCACCAAATTTGACATACTTGCTTCTAGGCTCAATTCAGTGATAAGTGTTAAATCCCATCCCATTTAGGGAAATATTACACGTTTGGTGCACAATAAAAGGCAAATCGGACGCTGATATATATGGGAGCTATATCCAAATCTGAAGCGATATCGATAAAACTTGACAAAAGTATTTCTGATCTGTATTTGATATATTTCCTCGAATATCGTTTTTATGGATGGCATATTATGGCTGTGGAGGACAAAAATATCAAATCGGATGAATAATATATATGGGAGCTATAGCTATATCTGAACCGATTACGATCAAATTTGATATGCTTGTTTCTAGGCTAAATTTGGTGGTAAGTACGAAATTCCATCCCATTCGGTCTAATATTACACGTTTGGTGCACAATAAAAGGCAAATCGGACGAAGATATATGTATGAGAGCTATATCCAAATCTGAAGCGATATCGATAAAACTTGGCAAAGGTATTTCTGAGCTGTATTTGATATATTTCCCCAAATATCGTATTTATGGAGATCATATTATGGCTGTGGAGGACAAAAATATCAAAACGGATAAGCAATATATATGGGAGGTATAGCTATATTTGATCCAATTTCGATCAAATTTGGCATACTTATTTTCAGGCTTAATTTGGTCGTATGTGCAAAATTTCATACCTTTCGGGTTGATATTACACGTTTGATGCACAATAAAAAGCAATTCGGACGAAGATATATATGGGAACTATATCTAAATTTTGACCGATTTTCTTCAATTTCAATAGGGTTCGTCCTTGGGTCAAACAATTAACTTGTGCAAATTTTCGTCTGGATTGGGCAATAAATGCGGCCTGTACTTTGTTTACAAAAATACATGGACAGAGAGACGGACGCAAGGACATGCAAAATCGACTCAGAATGTGATTCTATTTCTCGTTATGCTACAAACAAATGCACAAAGACATAATACCCTTACCACTATGTGGTGTAGGATATTATAAATGGCTATTCGAGATTATTTTCAGTTTTAAAAATTTGGTTGAAGGAAATTTTTTCCTTAAAAGAATTTTCTTCATTGACTGAGGGCAAATTATATCCATAGTAAAATGTTAGTGAAGTCTAAAGCTGATCTTGATCAAACATCGGTACAACAAAGCCCAATCATTTTTTGCTACTTTACATAAATATTTTTTCCCCTGGGGAACCCCCATTTCTTGTTTGACTGCTGAATTAGAAATAGAAATGACGTTATTAACGTATTATTCATCAATCTCACCTGCAGTGAAGCATTGTTATTGTTCTTTAGAAATTGTACAAATCTTGGTACAATACCCCTTTGTATAACTTCTTCAATAGGTGGATTTGGATCTCGTGATAAAAGTTTACGGAACTTTTGTGTTGCTTCCAATTGAACACTTTCGCTATCACTATATAAAGCATCGATCATTTCTTTCTTGATAATTGTTGTCCCCGTTGGATGCTGTTGTTGTTGCTGCTGCTGCTGCTGCTGGGACATTGGTGTGGCATAGTTTTGCTGCTGTTGCTGTGTTGTCTGCTGTTGATCTTGTTGTTGTTGGTGATTGAGCACCGTTTGAGGTATTAGTTGTTGATCATTATGATGTGTGGTTGTTAAATCTAAACCGGCTTCAATTGTTTGCATATCATTTGGAAGTTGATGCATTTCAGATTCCTGTCATAACCAAATACAAATTATGTAAATTATTGAGAAAACAATAAAATGAAAAAACATACCTGCATGAAATCATTATCCATACCAATATCGGAAGGATTTTCCAAGACCACATTACGTCGCTTGGTAAGCTGTTGTTCACGTTTTTGTTTACGCAGCTGTATGCCCTCTTCCTCGCGTCGTCTACGCATTTCGGAGGAATCCATGCCAGCATTTTTGTAACGATGCCTGTGACTGGTGGCTGACATATTGTCTGAAACATAAAAAACACCAATCAATAGAGATTTTCAAACAAAAATTCCTCCAAAGTCAGGGGTGTGGTTTTATCATATTTCATGTTTTCCCCCTTTCTTGGCAAATAGGTTTGCTCTTCGTATATTGCGGATATTACTTTTATTTCAACCTTTCTAATTTGCATACAGTCTTATGTTGTATAAACAATTGCTTGCAGAAGTAACTTTTACTTTTCATTAAGCAATCACAAAGTAAAGGTGAGGTGTCTTCATTTCCCTTCTAATTGACAGACGGCACACACTACACACTCTGTTATGTTATTTATCACATCCACACTACATCATCATCACGGTTGCCACTCCAAATTTTTTTTCGGGACCAAAATTCATCAAAAAAAGGACCAAACCAAACAAAAAAGGACCAATTTGTTTGCAATTTTTTTCGCATATCCTCAATGCTTACAATATTATTTAACAAAACATTTATTTAACACAAAAAGTAAAAATGAAGTGTAAAGATTTCTAAACATTAACAAAAAGTGCTTCAATTCAATTTGCACATAAATACATAAAACAAATTAATATAAAATTTATACAGATATATTGATATAAATGTATATAATAAAATATAATAAAATAATATAATATGATGGTGATTCTATTCTAAGCCCAGCCTATGTGTTTTACTGACCAAACATAATGAGGCTCTGATTTTTGCGCACAAAGTTCTTTGGACAGCATTATATTATTGATTGAACTGAACTCTAATTTATTCCTTAATTTGGTTTTGATAAGAGAAAGTTCAAAAAATTTACGTTCTGCTGCCGCCGAACTATGTGGAAGGCTCAATAAATCATATACAAACTCAGTCAATTCTTGAAAACATTTCTCATCCATACCGTTTTTATATAAACTAACTTTTTCCCAAAATACACAAACGTCCATATCAGGTTTAAGATTACTGTTTAAAAGTCTTAAGAGTTTCCATTGTGTTAAAATAATATCTATATCACATTTAATTAAATGAGAAAAATTGCTTACTAAAGGCATTATTGAAGTTTCTGTGTCTGATAGAACTTTGTTGGGGGTAATTATGCATAAATTTTTTAAATCAGTTCTTCCAAAGTCAAACCGTTGCTGAATTTGTTTCAAAAATTCAACGTAAAAGTTTAAAATATTTGTTTTAATTGTGGTTCGTTGCGAATCCGTAAATTTATCGCTTTCAAGAAAGTTTTCTGCGCTACTTCCTATAAAAATATTTTTAACTTGCAGATATTTCGTTTTGTCATGTATATTAAAATTTTCTAGACAATCAATATTTTTTACAAAGTCGTTATGCATAAAATTACTCAAAAGTAGTTTAAAATGTACTTCAATTTGGGAGTACAAAAAGGGTAAGCGAACTTTTTCAGATTGAAACTCTTTATTCAGGGTATTAATTATTTTCAATACGTAGGCCAAAAACAACATGTAAACTTTTAGTTCCGGATCACCCATTGAATTCGCTAATTCAAATGCACTAATGCCACTTACTTCAAGACACGAGGATAAAAAATATAGTCGAAGCGCTTCCCACTGTTCATTAATCCGTGCAATCACACTTTCCAGAGCGAGCCAACGAGTAAAAGAAATTCCAAGTATTTTATGAGGTTTTACTCCACAATAATCCTGAAATTCCTTGAACTCGTTGATTCGCTTTGGGCTGTGCGAGAAAAATTTGTATATATCTCTACACAGCTTTTCAATTTTTGCTGGTAGCTGTTTGCTGGCGTAGCTCGAACACAAATGTAGCGAGTGGCAAGTGCATTTGATGTAAAATATATTAGTATCATTTTTTAATTTTGTTTTCAGCCCATTTAATTCGCCGGCCATCGTATTGGCTCCGTCAGTTGCTAGCCCTATCAAATTACTTAAAGGTACACTGTGCTTTTCGAAAAATGACTTTATCGTTTGGTATATTGCCTCAGAATCGCTTTTGGTAAGTTCAACTAGTGATAAAAATCTGTCACGAATGGTATTCGATAACTTATCAAAATACCTTACCACCAGAACCAGACACTTTGTTGTTGATACGTCCGTGGTTTCGTCCACAATCAAAGAGAATTTACACGTTCTGAGATCCGATACTATTCTTTTCATTGCTTCGTTCCCTAAAATCTCTGCCAGCTGGGTCGATTTGGTTCTGCCGCAGCGTAAAGACTGCGCTATTTTTGAGTCCGGACAACACACGGCTAACAAATTTGGCAAATAATCCATAAGGATAAATGGAAGATTATGTGCTATTATGAACATCACTAAACTGAATTCTGCGTTTCGGATTTGCTTTTCTAAAGTATCATTTTGTTCTTTAAGAAAAGAATCTAACTTCACTTGGCCCTTTTTCTTGATCACATTTTGAACATGGCTTGATTGCTCTGTGTGTCGTTTTAGCTTCGCTACGTGGTTCACCATGGACTTTTCGCAAGCAGTGCAGTATGCGCTCCCATTTTGCTCTTTGAGCCAATTAAATTGGGTTAGCCATTCTTTCCGAAATTTGCGTTTTGGATCCTTTTTTTCGCCAGCTGTGTCGCTAAATATAGAATATGTAATCAATTAATACGTACTTATGTAAGTATGTATGTATTTATTACCTTTCACTGCCATCGCTTTCGACTGACTGCGTGGGAGGCCGTTGTTCTGCAACCTTCGCCTTCTTTATCAAAAACCTGAAACAACATATCAATCAATGCAAAAATTTAAATTCCATTTAAATCTTATCCATTAACTTACTTGTCCATGGTAAATTATTGTCTAGTTTTACTTTTACACAAACAATTACATTATAAAATATTCGTTACACTGAAGTTAATTTGTCAATTTCTGATTTGTAAACAAAAGAAACAATTGACCAGTGTTGTCAATTTAGCTTTTTCCCGCTAGATCTAGCTTTGTTTTTTGACTGACAGGTAATATTGCCACTTGATTTACTATTGTGGGTTGGTAAAATTTGATTATATTTTCAAGTGTTGTCAACGAATCAAATCTTTCGCTTTATGTGAACCGTGTTGATTTTCGTAAATAAATTTTTAAAGGCGTGATGAAACACTCAAAATTTCTTTGTACCATAATTGTAAACATTTTCATAAAAGGGACCAAATCAGAAAAAAGTGGACCAGTGGACCAAACGTAAAAAAAAGGACCATTTTTGGTCCAATTGGACCAAAGTGGCAACCGTGATCATCATCATCACCATCACTTCATTAAGCATCACCGATGAACACATGAAATATGATGAAAAAAGTACATATTCTATCTCTGCCTACTTATTCCTTACAGCACCACCAACAAATCGACCGAACGAACGCAAGAAAAAAACTTTTACGTGCAACCAACCAACCACTACACTTGCACACACACTCATGCATGCATATGGGCAGAGAGAGAGACGAAGAAAAAGTATCACTTTTTACTTATAAAACACACGTTTTTCTTTCGACAAATCCGTCATGATTTACCACCATTCACTGATAATTCATTATAATTTCCTTGATTGGCAATTGAGCAATGTTTGTATTGTATTCAATAACATTAGATTTACCTATATGTTACGGAGATTTTGTGCTAAAATTTGTTAATAATTTTTTTTTTCGTTAAACTGGTAGTTTCCGTGTACTATAATTCTTCTTCTTCCTTCGTATTAATTTCTGTGTAATCATTTCGATTTGCATGGCATTTGACATCTGTTACCATTCACCGAGAAGGTGAGAGAAAAAAAGAAGTAAAACGTATAACAACATTTACATCAGGCATAATAAAAGTTGACCTGGGGCTGGACAAGAATCCAGCCCCTGGAAAATGTATGTTTACATACGTACCATGCATGGTAGAAGAATATAGGTAGATGCGTCGACACAGCTGATGGGACAATGAACTGTAAAACCAATTTTGGAATTGAAAATGTTGAATGAAAAGTTAGCCTTTTTAGGCCTTTTTATCCTGACTAAAACAACATACATTTTTTCAGGGAGAACCCCGTACTTCCTGTAACATGGTGTCCTGAAGATTCCCAAATTGCCCTTTTTTCTTCGTAATTTCTAAACTTTGATTCGCGAGGCATGTATTGGACATACCGCAGCGGAAAAAGACCCAAGGATAAAAGAAAGCTCAATTATCTTCAAATTTCGTAGATCCCAATATTTCTACCTACAAAATAACGGATATAAAGAACGAATAGAATGGACCATTCCTGCTGTTGCCTTCCCAAAAATTTTGAATATAAATAAAAAATCGGATTGAACAATACATTTGATAAATCGGTCCACTCTTTCTGAAATTTATGTTCATCAAAATCCTTTTGACAATGAGATGTTGTCAAATGGCAATTTTGAAAAAAATGTTAATAATATGATTATAAGACATTACCTTCTTAATTCTTTCATGGTAGTACCCATTACGAACTTCAAATGCGAAATTTAAAACAATTCCAGCAAATAATGTAGCTAAATGCAGATAGTCGCATCGACACAGCTGCTGGGACAATGAAATGTCGTATGAAAAAAAAAACATTTAAAATCTACTTATTTTTGATAAAACATTTAAAAATTTTTTGACATATCAATGTTCTCAAGCGTTGATGCATCTACCTATATTTTTCTACCATGAGGTTAAACCAGAATAAAGCTCTATCGTAAACATGCCTTTAATGTGCAACAATATAGGCTTATATCTCAATTAGTTCCAAAGCTGTAGCTATATATACTTTGTTGGGTCTAACCATGGTACCATGAGTCTAACTTTAATATAACCTTCGCAGTATGGCTAACCATCTTCTTAAAATTATGTTCTATATATCCTTAAAATTTATTGCGTCATAAAAGGATTAAAATCGGTCCATATGTGGATTGTAATAAGCATTTTCACCATGCGTACGTCTAGTGTGAACCTTACGTACGTACGTCATCAATAACTGTCTATTCAGTTATTGTGTGTTATCAATGCACCTCTTCTTCTTATTTCCTTATAATTTTCCTATTTTCGCGGCTTTGTATTTAATTTTTAAGATTTTTATTTTGGAATTTAAAGGCAAACTTAACAGAATCGGATTGCACGTATTCTAATACTGCATTCACTTCACTGGATTCAGAAAAGATATAGATACATTTTACTCCAATTTGAAAGGTTAGAGTGTCAGGTTCACTTTATCATCCTCCACAATGTATAATTTTCGACTTCATTGGGAGTTTAGCTAAAATAACTTCATGATTTGTCATACATACTACATTACCTATATTGATTTGGATGATTCGAGTCTAATTCAGGTTTTTTTTTTCGCCGAGATATACAGGGATTAAAATAAAACATATTTTTGTATGCTTTTGGTTGTCTTCCTTTGCAGACCGATAAGATGGACAATAGCAATATCGATCAGTTGAAAACCTTGTATAATGCTTTGCAACAGAAAGTGCAACAACACAGCCAAGTGGCAGCCATGGAGCAAGAGCGAAAATTGGAGATAATGCAGCTACTGCATGATTTCAACGACGTCAAAGATGCAGCACAAATAGTTTTGGGAGCTTTGGCCAATTTGGAGTGTAAGACCATTAAGGAAATGCATTTAATATATAACTTACCACTCAATGAATAGGGAAATAATTTAAATATCTTTGTAATATTCCCTTAGTTTGCATTCCACAGACTCTAGAAAATACTCATCCCCTTTTAGATAGTTATAATTTCAGAATATATATTTTATTTAGTATATATCGTAATTTCTTTAAAATCTATAAATGAAAATATCCCTTCATTTAATCTTGAATATATAGCACTGAGCAAAGTTGTTTAAAAAAATAACAATAACATATGTTTGACCTATATTTCTAGAAGTTTTTTTGTTATTCTTTAGTTACATAAGATAATCAAAAATGCCAACATTGTACTTTGGGGCTGCCGCCGGCAACTGCTGAAACATTTGAATGACGAAAAAATTGTTTACATTTATTTGCTCCTCAATTTGAGGACTTCCTAGGGGCTAATTTCCACATACCGAGTAATGTATTATAATCATAAGGCGGCATCTCCAGCTCTGAAGAATACCCGGCAACGTTCATTGAATGCCTTGTATGAACGATCTTTTACAATGTCTTCCACATTCAATTCCGATTGTAAAACGCGCAACTATACGGGAAAATGAAAGCAATACATTAGAAGATTGCCCATGTCCGTGTGTTGAATATCTAGAAACCCACCTTTCTTTGTTCCGATTTGAATTTCTTATTGACATCAACATCATCCGGGTTAGCTTCACGCTGTTCCCGCAATGTTTTCAATGTATCAGCCGAGACCATAATGCAACCACGTATGGCCTCTTCACGTTGTTTGTGACCCACCTTCAGTTTGTCATATAAATCCCTGCATGTTTGTTCACTGTTTACTTGACCCTTGAAAGATTCAGTCGGCAGGGAAGTGTTCAATGTATAAATGATCTTATCGTCAATATCTCGCATTTTCTTCAGAGCTTCCTGAAAGTGTAAAATTTGTGGTCATTAAATTGAACACACACATGCGATTATGAGGAAATCTTCAGCACATACTTGGAAGCCGAGAAAATCTTGACAGGAATATGAAATAGCCATATTTCGCGGTGAAAAATCTAATTTATTTATTTTTTAATAAAAAAAGTGTTACAAAATCCCAATGCAATGCAAGTGACAGAAGGCGAAAAACACCGACTGAAATGTCAAATTGGAATAACATAACCTAATTTGTGGCAGGGTTGTATTTTCTTACCGTGTGTTTTTCGTACACTCAGCGAAAAACGTGGGAAGTATTTTAATATGAATTGGAGATGAATCAAAAATGGAAAATAGATACAGGGTGAAATGAAAAATCTGCAACAAACTTCAGACTACTGTCAGTGACAGCTGATTATATTGTTTACAAGCGTACAAAAGAATAAATCTTTTGTGTCTCGTACCATCGCTCGTTACCGTGGTACTGGTAGCGTAGCCCGACGTTAAGGAAGTGGACGGAAGAAAACAGCAACATCAGCAGAAATGGTTCGAAAAGTAAGGAAGCGACTTGATCGAAACCCGCGTCGCAGGAAAAATTGGCTCATGTACTGAACATATCGCAGATATTGAAAAAATGAGCTCGGGGTAAGTGAAATTCGAAAGTGCAGTGCGCAACAGAAAGAAAATAGACTCAAAAGAGCTAAAGAGTTGCTTCGCTTGGCCGAACGTGAACGTGAACCACCAAATTTGGTTTTCTCCGATGAGAAAACATTCGTTGTCCAGCAGTTTGTAAACAAACAAAATCATCGTGTTTACTTGCCAAAGAGGTCAGCTGAAAATTTGCACCTTCGGTTGGCCACCAGAACTCAAGCGCCGACCATGGTGATAGTGTAGGCCGCCATAACAGCCGATGGTCGCTCTCCGTTCGTATTAATCGACCGTGGGATCAGAATAAATGCCGTATATTATCTCGAAAATATTCTGGTGGGTGTATTAAAGCCTTGGGCACGCAAACATTTTGACCGCAGACCTTGGAGATTCCAACAGGACTCAGCACCATCGCACTCAGCACGCGCCATCCAAAAATGGTTACAAAATGTGGTTCCTCGCTTCATTTCCAGAGCAAATGGCCGGATCCCAATCCGTTGGACTATTGTTTTTGGAGTATTTTGGAAAGCAAGGTTGGCACTAAAAAATACCAAATTTAACGATTTAAATTCCGTTTGAAGGCCATAATTCGTGCCAAATGTGACCAATTCGAACAAATCTAAACTTATTCTAAATTTGATGCTATTTCCGAAGTTTTTGCTTTCATTCAATAAAATTTAAAAAAAAAGTAAAAATTATGGCGTTTGACTTTGTTTTTATCTCACCCTGTATATCTTCGGATTTGCCTTTTATTGGGCACCAAACGTGTAATATTAGCCCAAATAGAATGGAATTTGGCACTTACCGCCAAATTGAGTATAGAGACACGTGTGACAAATTTGAAAATCGGTTCATATATAGCTATAGCTCCCATGTATATTTTTCATCCGATTTGTGTTTTTGTCCTCCACAGACGTAATATGCATTCCTTAACAACGATATTCGGGGAAATATATCGAATACAGCACAGAAATACCTTACCAAAATTTTATCGAGATCGTCAGATTTAGATATAGCTCCCATACATATATCATCGTCCGATTTGCTTTTAATTGTACACCAAACGTGTAATATTAGCCCAAATGGGATGGAATTTGTTACTTACCACCAAATTGAGCATAGAAACAAGTATGCCAAATTTGGTGAAAATCGGTTCAGATATAACTATAGCTGCCATGAATATTTTGTTTACTAAATGCTTAACTTCTTGGGGAATGTTTTTTTTTTTATAATTTTTGATTAAAAATGCAGGTTATAAATTTCTTTTTTTCAAAATAAGCTTGACATTTGTTTTTTATTTAATATTAAAGCATTATGTTTTATATTTAATATTTTATATAATTACTATTCAAAAAAATGGTGTTGAATTTGTTTTCCGTTTTACGAAACATTTATGCAAATAAATATCAATAATTTTGTTTAGTATATTAGTATAATTTTATATTGCAAAATAAATTTCCAAAGCTTTTTCTTATTTTTTCTCTCTTTCTTATTTTCTCTCTCAGGCATTGCAACTCTTCGTCTTCCTTATCATCAGAACTTGACTTAAAACAAATATTTACAACAAAATGGGGGGGAAAAATAACAAAACAATAATATATATTTTTTTAATATTGCAGTAGCACTATTGAATATATATAAAAAAAAACAATTTTTTTAACATAAAGAAAAACAAAAATATAACACCTAATCATCAAAATACATGTGGAAAGTTATTAAAAGGAAACATACATAAACATGAACAGAAGCCAAATGGGGGTAGAGGAGAGGAGAGAAGTGTTTGGGAAAACAAACAAAAAATAAAGAACCTAAAATTCGACTATTATAATTTATTTTATAACATTAGTTTAAAATATAAATTTAAGACATAAATTATGTATGAATTGTATTGTGTCTAAATTATTATTTAAAAAAAATATCACGCGCACTACGCACGCACACACAGCAGCAAACAGACGCCCTCGTGTTTCCTTTCCAATTTCATCATTCACGAAATATAAGAATATACACATATATATTTAGAAAACAAAAAATAATAATAATAATATTATAATAAAAGTACATATAGCTAGAAATTATATAATAATCACAATAATTGTTTAACGCTCGGCGTGTGTATAGTGGTTCCCAATATTATTTCTCATTCTCTTTGTTTTTCTCATTCTTTCTCTGTTGTTTTCTTTAGGATATTGTACACATTTTCTTCAGATCATTTTCCGTTTCGTCATTGTCTTCGTTGCCCAAGACACCACTTGGCAGTGTCTTGCCCTCAATATTTGGCAAATACGGTTCATAGTCTAGGCCTTTGCGTTCGTAGAAAAGTAAATAGGCTGAACTAGGATCAATATTGGGTGGATTGGATATTTCACGGCACGAACTGTCATTGTAGCAGTACCAGGAGCCATTTGGATTGGCGGCATAGGAGACATAATGGCCACCGTTCAGCATGCCGGAATGCGACTAGGAAAAAAGAAAAAAAACACAGAAAAAGGTTAAATAACAATTTTTTGGTAAATAACTTCATGTCTATGGTCTAGAAAGTACTCAAAGAAATAATCCCAAACTTTTAACGTCTATCACCCTAACATTTCCCCAAAAAAACAGCACGTCTAGCAATCTTACGATCCATTAAAAGTATTCTTGAAAATATAGAGGTCTTAGAGTTCTATACCAAGTATTTAAACATTATCCAGGTTTTGTTGTCTAAAGAGCCCTAAAAATCGCTCTAATATTTCCCTGAATACACTCTTAGAAACTTCACGTCTAGCAATCCTACGATCCATTAAAAGTATTCTTGAAAACATAGAGGTCTTAGGGTGCTATACCAAGTATTTAAAAATTATCCAGGTCTTGTTGTCTAAAGAACTCTAAAAATTTTAACGTGTATCGCTCTAATATTTCCCTGAAAACACTCTTAAAAAATTCATGTCTAGCAAACTTACGATCCATTAAAAATATTCTTGGAAACTTAGAGGTCTATGGGTTTTTTTTTTTTTTTTTTCGAACGTTCCCACTCCTCACATTCCCACCCCTGCCGACCGAGGGGGCGACCTCCCTTTACGGAGGGATCGCGTACACATCATGATCCGCATCATAATGGGAATTCAGTAGGAAATTTAAAACCAGCTACAGAATTTAATTCATCAGCTAGTTTGTCAAATAATAAAACATGTATGTTAATTGTTTAAAAATAAAATTATTCTAGATTTAATAACTTCTAAACTCATACCAAAATCTACATTACAGTACACAGAATTAAAGTCAACACACATTTTACTAAGAGGTTCGCCCATTGAATAATTCGTGCGGTGAAAATCAGTATATAATAATTGGTAGTATCTACTAGATCTAAACGGAACATTAATTCTAATAGATGAAATCAGAAAATCTGAGGGTATATTACCATTTAATATTTTTAGTACAAACATGGAGTTCAACATAATACGTCTGCTTTTAAGTGTAGGCAATCTAATTAATTTTAGCCTGCTAGCATAAGAAGGCAAAACAAAATCACTATTCCAATGTAAACCTCGTAAGGCAAATAGCAGAAATTGTTTTTGCACGGATTCTATTTTATCTGAATATATTGCATATTGAGGATCCCATACAACAGAACCGTATTCCAATATAGGTCTAACAAGAGACGTAAATAACTGTTTTGTTATATATGGATCAGAAAATTCTTTGGTCCACCGTTTAACAAAACCTAAAACACCATTTGCTTTATTTACCATTGTTATTACATGGCTATTAAAATTTTGAATCCATCAAGAGGCCAAGATCAACAAATGAATCTACAGTTGATAATGAATGACCGTCAATATTATATTTTAATATCAGAGAAGAAGATCTGGAGAAGCACATATGCTTACATTTGCTTAAATTTAACTCCATACAATTTAACTTGCACCATTTAAAAAGGCTATCTAAATCGTTTTGAAGTAAACTGGCTCGTTTATTACAATTATGGGAAATGAATAATTTAACATCATCTGCGTACATTAACAATTTCGAGTAATTTATGGAATTAGGTGAATCGTTGATAAATAAAAGAAAGAGGACCGGTCCAAGGTGACTTCCTTGCGGAACACCCGATGGAACGTTAATCGTTTTGGATAGATACCCTTCAAACAAAACTAGTTGTGATCTATTTTGTAAGTAAGATGATATCCATTTGACTAAGTTTGTGTTGAAACCCATATAATTTAATTTATATATTAGGAGTTCATGGTTAACCCTATCAAAAGCTTTACTAAAATCGGTATAAATTGTATCAGTTTGTTTACGCTGAACAAATCCTTTTATTACTGTTGACGTAAATTCTATAAGATTTGTTGTAGTTGAAAGACCACTACGAAAACCATGCTGATATGGACTCAATATAGATTTAATTTTCTGTGAAATTACTGCAGTAATTAATTTTTCAAACAATTTTGGTATGGCACTTAATTTTGCAATTCCTCTATAATTTGACACATTAGTAAGACTACCAGACTTATGTAAAGGTATAATATAAGATTTTTTCCAAAAAGTAGGAAAATGACCAAATTTAAGTGAATAATTAAACAATATAGTTAACGGAAGTGCTAATGTTTCTGAACAATATTTAAGAATTATATTAGGTATGCCATCCGGTCCTGGACATTTAATCGATTTTAAACTACGCAGACTATTGGATACATCATGACGTTGTAGAAAAGGCATACAAATTTGATCAGCCTGTGATAACTTATAAGGATACGAGTCTTTAATTTGGCAAGATGTACTGGAATAGGTTGTGGCAAAAAAAATCTGCGAAACATTCAGCAATATCTGTGCCTGTGACAAATTCTTTATTGTTATATTTCAATACTGAGGGCTTTGAGGAAACTTTTCGTTTTAGATTAACAAAATCATAAAAAGATTTAGGATTGGATTTAACATTATTTTTAATCTTGTCTAGGTAAAGATTGTACAATCTACGAGACTCTAAAGTATATTTAGATCTAGCAACAGAGTAATTAGTGTAGTCTATTGTTAAGCCTGATTTTTTTTATTTACGAAAAAGCTTATTTTTAGAATTTTTTAAACTTGATAACTCAGGGGTTATCCATGGATGTTTATTTGAATTTTTAACTCTAGTGGTTGGAACACATTCCAGTTTAAATCTATTTAAAATATCATAAAATTTATCAATTACATATTCTAAATCTGTATGGCTGTTACACAGGCACACAGAAGCCCAATTTATGGAGGAAATGAGGGTATTAAGTTTTCGAAAATTAGTTTTTTTGTAATTAAGGACTGTTTTAAATGAGTCGGACTGACTTTCTTCAATTACATAACTGTGAGTCATGGAGATATATAAAGTTGGATGGTATATATCTTCAGGAGTGCATATTGGAGGAATTCTGAATATATCAAAATGCTGTGTTATATTTACAAACGCCAAATCAAGAATTTTTCCGTGGGAATTTTTTACACTGTTTATTTGATAAAGATTTAAGTCACACAAACTATTTACAACATCAAATGTATACTGGGTACTGTTCATTTCAGATTGCAAAGGAATCAAAGCTTCAGAATCTGGCATTGGAAGCCATTTAATGGAGGGCATATTAAAATCACCAAGGATCAGAATGCGATCGGAATCTTTCATTTTTTAAGTAATTAAATTTATTTCTGATAAATGCTGATTATAAATGTCAAGTGAAGATGAGGGGGGAATATAAGAGCAAGTTACAAACAATTTAGATTTGCCCAATTCAATGGAAACACAAACAAATTCTATATCAAGAAAATCATTTAGATCAATTAAATTAGTGGTATATTTGGTATCAACTGCAATAAGGACGCCACCACCTTTTTTACAAACACGATCTTTTCTAAATATTTGATATTTTGAACATAAAATTTCACTATTTAATATAGATGTTTTTAACCAAGTTTCGGAGAAAGTCAATACATTATAATTGAAACCAATGCTATCAGTATATAAACTGGTTAATTTTGTATTAAGCCCCCTTACATTCTGATAGCAGATTGAAAATGAGTAATTTAGTTTTTTGGCACCGAGTCCGGTCTAAGAGGCAAATGAGCTAAATTATCGGATCTCTCCACAAATTCTTTAATAAATGCCCTAGCAGGCCAAAATTCTTTTAAAATCAACTGTACAAAAATATTGTCAGGCACAACGATTTTGAAAGAAGATCTATTTTCAGAAAATGCAGATCGGAGCTTATAACATCTCAAAAAGTAATCTCCCTCAATTTTTGATTTTATATAATAGTTTATGTCATCGGCCGTTGTTTCTGGTGCAAACCTTGTTGCAAATATCATTTTCATGGCGGGGGCCATGGATAATGATCTTTGGACAGGTTGAGTTTTGCCAGTAGCAGTCTCGGGACGATCACTAGTGATAAGTGAAGGAAATGATAATTCCTGTATGTCACGAGTAGATTGTGAGGTTTTCTTAGAAACCTCACTATCAATATTCATAACATCAGGATTAATTACCCCTTTACCTATACCGCTGTTATCTACCGGAACTGGGTGTGTAATAACACTGGCATACGACTGTTCACGTCCAGTCTCAGTTGTATCAGTGATATTAACTGAGACCGGTTGTGGAACAGTGTTCTCAACAGAAACTATTGCTTTGCGACTAGGCATTCCCTTAGTTGGTGCCTTTTTCGCAGCCCTTTTGCGTTTCTGTCCAGAAACTGACGGTGACGACACAAACTCATCTAACTCTTGGTATTTCTCAAACAATGTAGAGAAATTCTCAAATCGGAGTGATAATGAGGAAAAATCTTTTTTCATCGATGTCAATTCCGACTGCAAATCCTTTACAAAATTATAAAAGTCTGCAGAGAGTTTCCTGCATTGCACACAACACCAACGAACACCAACATTATTTCTAATTGTGTCTACTACTTTTGCATTAATCCTAGCACATTTTGCATGCCATTGATTAAGACAAAACCAACAGGTAACACACAATTCATCTTCTGCAACAATATTACACAATTCAAAAGGGCACGACATTTTCTTTATTTTAATTATATCTATTTCTTTTTTAATACACAAGTTCCAAATATTTATTTAAGATTAGATCTGTAGCTGGAATTTTTGTTATTTATATTTATTCTTTTTTATTTTTTTTTTTTAAATGTTGGCAACTCTTTTGAGATGACAAACAAAACAAGACGATAATGTTACAACAACTAATTAGCTAATGTAACAAAAGAAAGAGGATAAAAGGAAAATGTAAAACTACACAATTTTAAAATTGATATAACTTTAAAACACAAAACAAGATTTTAAAACACTACACCAATTATCACTTTGAGTTACAAATCACTATTGAACACTTTTAAACACTTTTTTACCAGATTAATTAATTTAATAACGCAATAACTACTAACTTTTTTTCAAAGGCACGGAGCACCACAATTTTTTGAACTAATCACAACAGGGTTGCCAATAATACACAAAGTATTTAAAAATTATCCACATCTAAAGGAATTATTCTCAAAACAATAAGCGATCGAAAGGTCTTTTAAGAACTGTTCCAAAAATTTTCACTTTTAGAGATCTAAATGTCCATAAAAATCTAATTTAAACCAGAAAAGAAACTCTGAAAGTCGGGAGGCCGACTTTATGATACCCTTCACCCCTTTACATATTTAGTAGAGTTTCATATAAAAAATAAAAAAATATAACAAATCGGATGAAAATATACATATCTGGACCGATTTTCTTTTCAAATTTGACATACTTGTTTCAATGCTCAATTTCAATGCTCCATCCCATTTGGGATAATATTACACGTTTGGGGTACAATAAAATACAAATGAAGTTATATATGGGAGTTATATCCAAATCTGAACCGATTTCGATACAATTTAGGAAAGGTAATTCTTTGATGTATTTGATATGTTTCCACGAATATCGTTGTTGCTGAGTGCATATTACGGCTTCGGAGTACAAAAATTTCAAATCGGATGAACAATATATATGGGGATCTATAGCTATATCTGAACCGATTTTGATCAAATTTGGCGTACTTATTTCCAGGCTTAACTTTGTCGTATATGCAAAATTCCATACTAATTTGGCTGATATTGCACGTTTAGTGCACAATAAAAGGCAAATCGGTCGAAGATATATATGAGAGATATATCCAAATCTGAACCGATCTTGACAAAATTGTATGCACTTATTTCTGAGCTGTATCTGATATCTGGTACCAAAGGTCATTGTTGTGGGGTGCATATTACACATGTGAAGGACCTAAACGGATGAAACATTGTATATATAGGAAGAATTTGATCTACTTGCTTCTAGACTGAATTCGGTCGGATGTGCCAAAATTTAGGTAATTTGGAATGATATTGGCCATTTGGTGCACAATTAATCCGAAATCGGTTGAAGATATATATGGGAGCTATATCTAAATTTTGACCGATTATCTCAAATTTCAATAGGATGCGTTCTTGGGTCAAACAAATGACTTGAGCAAATGTTCATCTGGATCGGGCAATAAATGCGACCTGTACTTTGTTTACAAAAATACATGGACGGACAGACGGACGGGCATGCATAAATCAACTTAGCATGTGACTCTATGCAGATTATCAAAAGGAACTATGGGCCTATCTCGTTTCCTTTTGCCCGTTTTAAACAAAGGGTATAAAAACTCCAAGTTCATAGGAACCTCAAAAATATTTTCCAAACGTACCACGTTTAGTGTTCAGAAGGTCCATTAAAATTTAATCTTTAAAACTCAAACTTAAGGGATCCAGACGTTTCTCAAAACTATACATGTTTAGTGGTCGAAAGGCCTCTTAATATTATTCGAAAAATCTCCACGTTTGGAGGTCTAAATGTCCGTCAGAATTTAATCTTTAAAACTCCAAGTTTAAAGGTACCTAAAAAATATTCTCAAAACAATAGACGTTTAGTGGTTGAAAGACCCCCCAAACATATTCTCAAACAATTAACGTTTAGTGGTTGAAAGGTTCCGAAGCAGTTGGCCAATATTAACCATTTCGTATCTGGCCTAGGACTGATATAAATATTACAACGTGCCAGATTTTGACTATATCGACTACTACCTATACTTCATATGAGATATGTGCAAATTTTTTGAAAAAGTCGAAAATTGCGTGGGGTTTAGTTCATTCATTTTAGTTCAATCGACTTTAAGTTCCTCAAAAACTATATCCAAAAACTTCTCGTATTTCTAGACCCCTATAAGTCCTTAAAATTATTCTTTAGCCTAGCCGACAAAGGAAATTCCAAACTTTTTACTTCTCCCAAAAAAAAAAAAAAAAAACTCACCACAACCGCATACAGCTTATATTTCGGATCGAATGGATCGTCGCCTTTTTTCAATTTATGCTGGTGGAAATCTTCAAAGGCCCCATCAACAATGGGCGTTTTGGTGAGGCTGGTCGAAATTAGACGTTTTCGTCGCGTCATTGTACGATCATCGCCGGCCTTACGCAATATGGCAGCATTGTCTAGCATTTTATCCGAAGATTCCTCCTCCTCTTCGTCATAGTCATCAGCCAGAGTCGTCGTTGCGTTAGTTGCACCAACACCAGCCACACCATTAACCTGGCAACATTTGCTATCGATAATATTACAACAGGCATCGAGAATTTGTTCTTTATTTGGGGTCGCAGCTACAGCTACAGCTGCTGCTGCTGGCTGCTGTTGTTGTAGATTTAATATATTATTGACTTTTTCGTTAAGCGCTAGTTGAGCCTCTCTTGTAAGACCATTAAGGGGTTTGTTATTGGTGTCAGCTGCAGCAGCAGAAGCATTGTTGCCATTATTTAGCGCGGCAATGTTTGCTGGGATACCTGTGGGAGGGCTCTTGGTGGTGGTCTCATTTTGGCTTTTTGCTTTACTTAAATTATTTTCGTCCTTCACCTCATTCACTTCCTTTTGTTGTTGTTGTAGTTTTGTAATATCACTTGTTGTTATTGCTTCATTGTTTTCATTAATACCATTTAGGGTTTTGGAAATTTCATTCATTTCGAGTAGTTCCTTGTGCCTTAGAATTGTCTCCTGTGGCACCGCCGCCAAATAGGGTGTCGGATCGAAATCATCCAAGGGAAAATGAACCACCTTTTGTGATTTCACCCATTTGTTGTTGACACAGTTGAAACGCTTCAAGTGGATGATCTGAAAGGAGAGAAAAAAATGAATAAAGAAGAATCAAGTGAAATAGCTGTAAGTTCGACCGGGCCGAACTTTTCAAAAAAAAAAAAAAAAAAAACAATATGGCTGTTGGAGCGCTTTTGGCTAGAGAGGGTATATATCATTTGATACGGCCAAAACGTACCTCATCGAAATTACGGTTTTAGACCCTAGGTCTCTTTGGACCAAATCCGTTTCAGGACATTTGGAGTCAATCTAGCGATGTCCGTCCGTCCGTCTGTCAGTGTCTCTGGCTGACTGGTGCGCAGATTACTCTCGTAGGGAGTATCCGATTTGATCCGAACTTGTTCGGTCGACGGTCCACTCCTTCTGGTACCTCCCCCACAAAATTTCATCATTTTCAAAGAAAATAAATTACTGCACAGAAGAAGAAAGGCAAGTTCGATTTTGCTCAAGCTTCGCAAATCCTAATATTTGCATCAGTGCTAGGTCAAGTGCGAAAATGGACAATATTGGTCAACTCCATCCAGTACCTCCCCCACAAAGGGTCAGAATTTGGAATAATTATAACTCTTATAAAACGCGATGTAGGTCTCCCAATTGTCTTTAAATAACACACATCTCAATATTTTTATTAACACAAGGTCAGGTGTGAAGATGAAATATATCGGTCCACTCCTTCTGGTACCTCCCCCACAAAGGGTCAAACTTTTTGAATAACCATGATGCTCATAAAAAGCGAAATTAACATCCGATTCCATTCAGGCTTGGTACAGCTCAATATTTCCATTAACAAAAGATATGTTATAAAGATGGTAGAGATCGGAGCATTCTTTCTGGTACCTCCTCCACAAAGGGTCAAAGTTTTGAATAGCCGAAACGATCATAAAATCCAAAATAAACATCCGGTTCTCTTCAAATTACACACGTCACAATATTTGTATCAACCCAAGGTCTGGTGTGAAGATGAACAATATCGGTCCACTCCTTTGGTATCTCCTCCACAGAAGGTCAACATTTTGAGTACTTCATAAAACGCGAAATTAACTTTCGATTCCATTCAGACTTGGCACATCTCAATATTTCTATCAACACAAGATTTGTTATAAAAATGGTAGCGATCGGAACATTTCTTCTCGTACCTCCCCCACAAAGGTTCAAGGTTTTGAATAACCGAAACGATCATAGCCCCCACATAAGGTTATTTTTCTCATTCAACTCCCACTTATTTCGCACTAAACACACATTTCTTTCTTTCTTGTAAGTTATGAAACTATGACTTATGATTTGAAGATATTAAACCTTTAAGACCCATGGTGTCAGTTTGCGGAATTATCATTTTAATATAGACCCCAACACTCTTACTTACCAAAATTGGTGGCAGTTTCCAGATTTGTAACTTTTTAGTGGCTGGTTTTTTGCCTTTGCAATGGCTACAGTGATACCATTCCTCGAGCTTTTCTTCCGAGGTAAAGGCCCGCAGGCAATGATTCAGATCGACCGGTTCGATTTGTTCTTTGCGACATATCTCCACAGATTCATGGTCTACCCAAAGCTGGGAGGACATATATAAAAAGAAACAAACATTTCAGATCAATTACGGATTAAGAAATGTTCACAACTTACCCTCTCCAGTGTACATTGATAACGTAAATGCAGGGCCGTTGGATCCCAATCGATGGCAATTATGTATTTATTATCATAGTTTCGACTCAAAATCATCGATTGCTGCGATTGCAATGAATCACGATCTGATGATGTGGAATTTAAGGGTTTGCGATTATCCAAAGTACCGACAACCATGGAATTATTTGCAGATTTTGGCATCATTTTTGGAGTTGAAGTGTTACCTGCAAAAAAAAAAAAAAAAAAAATGATGGTGAATGGTGGAAACCAGAAAAGGGAATTTCGAATGACTTACTTGTATCAAAACTATTATTAAATAATGAACTTTGGAATACATATTCATTGTTGCAGGGTATTTCACAGCCACGGCAAAAATTTGACCAGGGACATAAGGCGCATGTTAGACCATCGCTTTTTACGGCACGCAGCGAAAAGGGGAAATCATAACCCAAGCTGTCATCACTGAGGGGGAAAGAAGGGAGTTGTTATTTTTTCTTTTTCTTTTTCTTTTTTAAAATCCAAACATTTAAAATTATAATTTGAAAATTCTATTAGTAATTGGAAACATTTAATTCAAAACCCATAAAATCCACACGAAACTCAAAATCTTTTATTTGTAATTCGAAATTTTTTCAAACAGATCTTGTGTTAGCAAAAATTATTCAAATGATTTAGCATTCTTTCAGCCTTTTGTTTTTAAAAATCTTGAACCCTATGTGGGGGAGGTACAAGAAGAAATGGTCCGATCTCTACTATCTTATAGCAGATCTTGTGTTGATAGAAATATCGAGAGGTTCCAAGTCTGAATGGAATCGGATGTTAATTTCGTGTTTTATGAGCCTCATGAATATTCAATATTTTGACTCTTTGTGGAGGAGGTGCCAGAAGGAGTGGACCGATACATCCCATCGTCAGATCTTGTATTAGCAGAAATAATGCTCATTTCGGATTTTATGATCGTTTTTGTTATTCAAAACTTTGACCCTTTTGTGGAGGAGGTACCAGATGGAAATGTTGGACCTCTACCATTTTTTAACAGATCTTGTGTTGATAGAAATATTGAGAGGTCCCAAGTCTGAATGGAATCGGATGGTAAATTCGTGTTTTATGAGCTTCATGAATATTCAAAATGTTTACCCTTTGTGGGGGAGGTACCCGAAGGAGTGGCCCGATATATCCCATCTTCACATCAGATCTTGTGTTAGTAGAAATAATTGGATGTGTTATTTCACACATGAGGAGAACCGGATGCTTTTTTTGGATTTTACGATCTTTTTTATTATTCAAAACTTTAAGACTTTGTGGGGGAGGTACCACAGGGAATTGTCCGATCTCTACCATCTTCATAGCAGATCTTGTGTTGATGGAAATATCGAGATGTACTAAGTCTGAATATAATCGGATGTTCATTTTGCCTTTAATGAGCTACATGGATACTTAAAATTTTGAACCTTTGTGGGGGAGGTACCAGAAGCAGTGGACCGATATTGCCCATCTTCACCCTAGACCTTGGGTTAGTAAAAATATTGTGATGTGTGTAATTTGAAGACAATCGGACACTTACATCACATTTTATAACAGTTCTTTTATTCAGAATTTTGACCCTTTGTGGGGGAGGTTCTGGATGGAGTGGACCGATATTGTCCATTTTTGCGCCTGCTGTAGCACTGATAAAAATATTCGGATTTGCAAAGTTTGAGCAAAATCAGATTTGATTTTCTTTGCAAATGTTGAGATTTTGTGGGGGAGGTACCAGAAGGAGTAGACCGATATTGCCCATCTTCACACCAGACCTTAGGTTAATATAAATATTGTGATGTGTGTAATTTGAAGGCAATCGGACTCGTACCTCACATTTTATAACAGTTCTTATTATTCAAAATTTTGACCCTTTGTGGGGGAGGTTCGAGTGGACCGATATTGTCCATTTTCGCACCTGCTGTAGTACTAATGTAAATATTAGGATTTGCAAAGTTAGAGCAAAATCGGATTAGCCTTTCTCTTTCTGTGCAGTAAAATATTTTCTTTAAAAATGTTGACATTTTGTGTGGGAGGTACCAGAAGGAGTAGACCGATATTGCCCATCTCCGAACTCTATCTAAGTTTTACATTAATATTACGATGTACCAAGTTTGAATCAAATCGGATACTCCCCTTGAGAGTTATTGTGCGAACGGACATCGCTAGATCGACTCCAAATGTCTTGAACCAGATTTGGTCCAAAGAGACCTAGGGTCTAAAACCATTTCGAAATGAGACACGTTTTGGTCGTATCAAATGATATATAACCTCTCTCTAGCCATATGGCTGAGGTTATAAAAATTCGAATTGCAAATGAAATTATTCGAATTACAAATGAAAAAATTCCAATTACAAATGAGATTATTTGAATTACAAAATAAAGAGTTAGAATTACAAATTAAATTATTAATTAATTAGAAATGAATCAATTCCGATTACAAATAAAATTATTCGAATTACAAATGAAATTATACGAATTACAAATAAAAAACTCAATTACAAATGAAATTATTCGAATTACAAATGAACATTTTTCAGTTATAAATAAAAGTATTCTGATTACAAATGGAAAAAATTGCAATTATGAGTGAAATTATTCGAATTACAAATAAAAAAAAATTCAATTACAAAATATGTTCAATTACGAAGAACAAAAATTCGAATTAAAAATGAAAAAAATCGAGGTTTTTCCGAATTACATATTCAAAATGTTCTTTAAAAATTTTTGGAAATTGGATAATTCGAATTTTAAATTAAATAATTTAAATCAAAATTGTAAATGATACGATTTAAAAATTAAATGAAAATGAATTTCTCGAATTACCATTGAAATGTTACGAATTATAAACAGAATTCTCGAATTACCAATGCTTTGTATTTGCTGTTTTGAATTACATATGAAAAAATGTCTATTACAAATGAACAAATTCGAATTACAAATGAAAAAATTGGAATTAAAAATGTAAAAATTGTAACTGAATATGGATTTTATTTTTTTTTTGAATCCGAATTTCAAATGGGAAAATTCGAATTTCAAATGAAAATATTCGATTGACAAACGAAATATCTCGAACTTTAAATGGAATGAAACGAATTTCAAATGAATTTTTCAAATTAGCATTGAAATATCACAAATTACAAACAGAGTCCACGAATTCCAAATAAAATGTTTCGACGACGAATAACAACCCAAAAAGGGGATGTCTCTCCCCATCATCACACTCACCAATCAGCTGCATGATTCGCTTGATCCGTCGAGGCGGGCAGTGGTGTCAGCAGTCGACTAACCTGTAGCCACACGGCACAGTACAAATCCTTGTTTGTACCACCCTCCAGATTGGGTATCAGCAAAGGCACTCCAAAGATACTGGGTCGCGTTTTATGATGTGACAAAAAATAGCTATCCTGTCGTGTGATTTTACGATGCAAGGCCATTAGATATTTGCCGACTTTATAATGCTGTGATGGCATTCGGGAAAACAAACCACCATCCATGCCATTCAATGGCATGCCGCCGCCACCAAAGGAATCATTCAACTCCTGTTTCAGGAAATTTTGACGATTTATTTCCGACTCCATTAAACGTTGGGCATTTGCCTCGTCGGCGGTATTATTCAAACGACACGGGCACTCACTTAAACGCCGCAAACCACCCTCACACATCACTGGCGCTGCCGAACTGGGTGTTTCGGAATTATTGGAATTATTTATAACAGCCGGATCACAGGTCGAACTTTCCATGGAATTTTCACCGGAATGTGTAGCCGTTGCAATGGAGGATGAGGAACAAGTGTTTGGTTCTGTGGTTGTGCCATGCAACAGCTTGGAGGTGGAAATATTTTTTTGCAAACTGCCTCCATTGACGAAAGTGTTTTCGGGACTACGACTTACATTGGAGGTGTGCTGTAGCACAGAGAGATAATATTATTAGAAAATTTGAAAAAAAGAGGTATTTTATTTTTAAAAATTAGCATTTGTTTGTACAGGACTAAAATTAAAAAGAGTATGAAAAGCAATTGTGCTTTGGGTTTAGGATAGGTAATAGAGAGGAAAAAGAAGCTCAATAAATTGTTAAACTGTTTATGGCAATGAAGAAAAATAAATAACAACAACTCTTCACCTATTAAGCCAAGTGCAATAACAAAAGCGTTTAAAATTGGTGATATTAAAAAAAATTAAATAATAATTAGTTTGGATAAACGCTCAAAAGAAAAAGCATTTATTTGAATATTTACAAAGCACGCTTGCTCCACACCACAATTAAAAAAGGAAGAGGAGCCTGTTTCTGCATGACGCTACGAATGTTGGGGGAAAAGAAAAAAAAAACATTCCAAATGAGTTTTTTTTTTTTGGAAAATGCTTTCATTTACCCATTTCATATCGCCATTACAGAACACTGACCCCAAAAACTAAGTACAGGCCTATAATCACATCATCAAATGAGTGGTAATGGCTACCTCGCATTGGATGTTGTGGTGGCATAGACCCCGAAAATCAAATCAAATTTTTACTAAATTAAAGATCTACATTTTATAAAAATTAAAAGAAAAAAAAAAAAAAAAACAAATTAATCGGCTACGATTGCTACACCACAAATTAGGGAACTAAAAAACCAAATTATTTCAAAATTTAAAAACCGAAAGTGCTCTACAGTGATTATAGCTAATTTACAGCACACTCAACGGAACTACACATTTATAGTTTTGGAGAGTTAATTTGAAAAATGATAATAATCTCTACACAAAGATGTACAATTTTCAGCAAAGTTGACAAAAAAATCCACTTCCCTAAGAAATGTTGGAATCCAACCAAAAAACCAATAATCTTTAATATCAACGTCGGTTAAAAACACAATGTCGTCACAGATATTCTCTTAAAACAACAGCCCTAATACCGTTATTGTCGCCTCAACTTCATTTTGCGACGTCGACGACGACAACGGTAATAGGGCCGAATCTCTTTCAAAATACGACGTTTCAAAATAATTACAGGGAGGAAGTCATTGATCTCACCCTTGCTAACGAGAATGATTCGCTTATACCGGACTGGAAGGTCTACTTTGGGTGTTCCTTCTTTGATCACTGGAAGATAATTTTCCAGATCGCTTTAGAAAACATTCATCAAAAACCACATACTCTTCACAAAGATAAGGAAAGTAACTGGCATTGTATTGCTATATCACAAACGCCACCTCTAACGGAGATAAGTTAAGGACATTTATTGTTGCAAAGAAAAAGTTAAACGTAATCTTCCTAAGTAATTTGAGGGGAGGAGATATTTCGGCGTTTAGAAAGCAGACACACTCTGGCAGAGTATTGATCTTCAATGCCCTCTACGTGCCGTATAAGCAACCCGACCCGCCAGGTGGAGCTGGAAAGCGTAGTTGGATGTTATGCCAATGCTCAGCCTTTTCAAAGGGAGATATTACGGCATTGAGAACGCAGCAGACACACTCTGGCAGAGTATTGATCTTCAATATCCTCTACGTGCCGTATGAGCAACCCGACCCGGCAGTTGGAGCTGGGAAGCAAAGGCCATCTCGTAGTTGGATGTAATGCCAATGCTCAGCCTTTTCAATGGGACAACAAGGACACAAATACCAAAGGTCATAATCGGCCCAATTACGGATGTCACTTCTATAGTCGTCGTCGACGTTATGTGCAAGTCGCCATCGCTTCGATTCAAAAATGGTATTAAGTAAGTATGGTAAAGCACAGAAGCGACATCGACAGTTTAAAACCAGTAAAGAAAGTCTAATGTCGGGCGGGACCGACTTTATGATACCCTACACCCCTTTGCATCAAATTTGCATATTTAGTAAAGCTTCATATAAAAAAAATCTGATGAACAATATATATGGGAACTATAGTTATTTATGAACCTATTTTCACCAAATTCGACACACTTTTTTCTAGGCCCAATTTTGTCGTAAGTGCTAAATTCCATCCCATTTGGGCTAATAATAAACGTTTGGTGCACAATAATAGGGAATTCGGACGAAGATACATGTATTGGAGCTATATCCCAATCTGAACCGATCTCAATAAAATTTGGAAAGGTTATTTCTCAGCTGTATTTTATATATTTCCCCGAATATCGTTACTACCGAGAGTGCATATTACGTCTGTGCAGGACAAATTCAACAAATCGGATGAATGATATATATGAGAACTATAGCTATATATGAACCTATTTCCACCAAATTCGACACACTTGTTTCTAGACCCAATTTCGTCGTAAGTACAAAATTCCATCCCATTTGGGCTAATATTACACGTTTGGTGCACAATAATAGGCAAATCGGCAAAGATATATGTGAGAGCTACATCCAAATCTGAACCGACCTCGATGAAATTTAGCGAAGATATTTCTGAGCTGTATTTGATATATTTCCCCGATTATTGTTGCTACCGAGTGCATATTACGTCTGTGCAGGACAAATTCAACAAATCGGATGAATAATATATATGGGAGCTATAGCTATATATGGACCGATTTGCACCAAATTTGACATACTTGTTTCTAGACCCAATTTCGTCGTAAGTGCCAAATTCCATCCCATTTGGGCTAATATTACACGTTTGGTGCACAATAATAGGAAATTCGGACGAAGATATATATGGGAGCTATATCCAAATCTGAACCAATCTCGATAAAATTTGGGAAGGGAATTTCATTTTCATTTTCATTTATTTATTTATATGTTGCAATGAAAAAGCCATTAGGCCAATAAGTATCACAACTATCAAAACTACAAAAGTGTACTCCAAAATAAAAAAAAAACATCTTAAAAATATTACATAGTGTATCTTAAAGTAACCTAAGAAATCATATGTAAAATATGGACAAAAAGGCTCCCCAGCCAATGAAAATAAATTTAAGTCTATTGCTGGTAATAAAAAAAAACAATATTTAATCAAACGATACAGTATCGTCAATATCATTAAAAAAACAAATTGTTAACCTCCATTTGCCTCTACAAAGTTTTCAAACATGCGGCGAAAAACACCGCGGGAAAACGAGAATTGTCGTAGCTCAGCTGGAAGCTGATTCCAGATTCGTGCGGAACGAACTATGAAAGATCTTTCATATAGAGACGTAGAAAAATGAGGGAAAATTATTTGCGTATTCCTAGTAGACCGAGAGAACACTAGCCGATCTCGCTGAAAACCAGGAAGATTTAAACAGATACATTTATATAGAAATGAAACCACGCGTTGTTTAACAAAAGTAGAGAATGACACTCCTAAAAAGAGGACTGCATGCGCAGAAATATGGTCAAAACGACGCAAATTATAAACATATCTTACAATGATGTTAAAAAGTTTTTCTAATTTCATTAAATACTCATGTGTTGTACCAGAAATCACTTCAATACAGTAGGAAATTACCGAAAATAACATAGAATGAGCAAGATTTCTCTTTACAAATAAGGGCAAATAGAAATCAGTTGAGTGTAATTTTCGGAGCATATTTATAACTTTGGGGTACAGTGCATCAATATGCAAAGAAAAATCAAGCTTGGCATCAAGAACAACACCTAAACAATTTATGCGGTCAACAAAATCCACCGCTACACCATTAACCTGTATATTAATACCGCTATTCAGTCGGCAAGGTGAACCAAATGTCATTGCTTTTGTCTTAGAAACATTTACTACTAGATTATTATTTCTCAACCAACGTGAAATATTACCTAATGTTGTATTTATGGTATTCTCTAGTTGAAAGTCTGATTGACCTTTAAAAAATAAATGAATGTCGTCCGCATACATAAACGGATGACAGTCGCAATTAGTTAGAATGCTACTAATGTCATTGACATATAAAACAAAAAGAAGCGGACCTAAAATTGAACCTTGAGGTACCCCGCTGTAAATATTACGTAAGCTGGATGCCTCGCCATTATATGAAACATATTGAGAACGTCCAGATAAATATGAAGCAATTAATTTACAAGAATTACTGTCAAATGCATATAATGAGAACAGTTTCTCAATCAGCATTGAATGATCCACACAATCGAATGCTTTCGAAATATCCAGCGCACCAAGAACACCACTATCACGTCCATCAATTGTCTCTCTAATCAAGTCAAGTCTCTAATCAATTGTCTCTCTAAGCTGTATTTCATATATTTCCCCAAATATCGTTGTTACAGAGTGCATATTACGACTGCGGAGGACAAAAATAACAAATCGGATGAACAATATATTTGGGAGCTATAGCTATATCTGAACCGATCTTCACCAAATTCGACACACTTGTTTCTAGACCCAATTTTGTCGTAAGTGCCAAATTCTATCCCATTTGGGCTAATATTACACGTTTTGTGCACACTAAAAGGCAAATCGGACAAAGATATATGTGAGAGCTACATCCAAATCTGAACCGACCTTGATGAAATTTAGCGAAGATATTTCTGAGCTGTATTTGATATATTTCCCCGAATATCGTTACTACCGAGTGCATATTATGTCTGTGCAGGACAAAAACAACAAATCGGATGAATGATATATATGGGAGCTATAGCTATATCTGAACCGATTTCGATAAAATTTGGCATACTTATTTTCAGGCCTTATTTTTTCTTATATGTAAAATGCCATACTATTTGGACTGATATTGCACGTTTGCTGCACAGTAAAAGGCAAATCGGACGAAGATATATATGGGAGCTATATCTAAATTTTGACCGATTATCTCCAATTTCAATGGGGTTCGTCATTGGATCAAACAAATGATTTGTGCAAGATTTCAAATAAATGCCACCTGTATTTGTTTACAAAAATACATGGAAAGACAGACGGACGAACATACGGCATAAATCGACTCATTATATGATTCTATGCACATCGTCAAAAGTGGCTAGAATCCACCTACCCAATGTAGACTATTTAGGT